AACAACAACCACCACCACCAGCACCACCACCACCAGCAGCACCACCACCACCACCACCAGCAGCAGCAGCAGCAGCAGCAGCAGCAGCAAGGATATCTATATATCTCGTGTTCTAATCCAAGAGCAGCTGCAGCAGCGGCTGCTGCAGATACACCGCAGCAGAAAGCAGCAGCAAATGCTGCACCACCAACGTGTATTGCGTTCTCTATGCAAGGGGGGATACACCGAAGGGATTATAAACCTAAAGGGAGGGTTTTGTGTTATAGATGCTCTTGCTGTTGCTGAACAAACTAAAAAAACCTCATTCGTACTACTCAAAGATGGACCGCCAGGTTAGGGTTTAGGGTTTAGAAGGGTTTAGGGTTTAGAAGGGTTTGGGGTTTAGAAGGGTTTAGGGTTTAGGGTTTAGGTTTTTGTGTTATTGATGCTCTTGCTGTTGCTGAACAAACTAAGAAAACCTCATTCGTACTACTCAAAGACGGACCGCCAGGTTTGTTAGGGTTTAGGGTTTAGGGTTTAGAAGGGTTTAGGGTTTAGGAGGGTTTAGGGTTTAGGGTTTTGTGTTATCGATGCTCTTGCTGTTGCTGAACAAACTAAAAAAACCTCATTCGTACTACTCAAAGATGGACCGCCAGGTTAGGGTTTAGAAGGGTTTAGGGTTTAGGGTTTAGGGTTTAGAAGGGTTTAGAAGGGTTTAGAAGGGTTTAGGGTTTAGGGTTTTGTGTTATCGATGCTCTTGCTGTTGCTGAACAAACTAAGAAAACCTCATTCGTACTACTCAAAGATGGACCGCCAGGTTAGGGTTTAGAAGGGTTTAGGGTTTAGAAGGGTTTAGGGTTTAGAAGGGTTTAGAAGGGTTTAGGGTTTAGGGTTTTGTGTTATTGATGCTCTTGCTGTCGCTGAACAAACTAAGAAAACCTCATTCGTACTACTCAAAGACGGGCCGCCAGGTTTGTTAGGGTTTAGGGTTTAGGGTTTAGAAGGGTTTAGGGTTTAGGAGGGTTTAGGGTTTA